CCCCAAAACCCCAAAACCCCAAAACCCCAAAACCCCAAAACCCCAAAACCCCAAAACCCCTTTAAAAATAACTTATATTGTTTTGTTTCTTTGAAAAATGTCATTACATTCATCACCAAGGAGACTTAGAGAGTTTGATAGTGTCAGTGGCACTGCAGAGATTTCTTCTCAACAGAATCCGAATGATTCAGAAGTTGTTCAAGATGAAGACTTCAGAAATTTGAGAGCAGCTATTACTGATCTATATCTAGGTAGGCTCTTAAAAGCTCACTTTTGGGCTGTAATTGATTTTTGTAGATGTAAAAATTCGAAGCTCTGACGATATTGATAATTATAACACTCCTCAGTTTGATAAAGAAAAAGATAGGCTCAAGCAACTCAATCTCTCTACTATTGTCAGTTATATTAAAGCCTCGATTGAAATATTAATGAATATGAAGCTAGACGAATCAGAATATAAGCTTCGAGAGTCTAAATATCATCCCTCTTCAAAGCCATATTTTCGGAGAGAGGACAAACCTGTTGAGGAGAGTAAAATTTCAAGCAACTCCCAATACGATGTCAATCGAGAGTATGAAATCGCAATTCAAAAATTAGAGGCTGATATTCGAAACCACATACGAATAGGTATCTCTAATTCCTGATGTTTTAGAGCAACAATTAAAACTTCATATTGAATCTGTTCATTCTAAGATAGAAGAAATTGAAGAGAGATGGCATCAGGCTGAATCTGACAAGATCCACCAACAGAGAAGGTTTGACCAAGAGCTTTCCAAACTGAAAGGTAAGAAAGATTTATAATATTTAGATAGCCTACTTCAGAAATAACAGGACGATCTCCCAGCTAACTGCTGATTTAGAGAATGAAAAGAAAACTTCTTCTGAAAAGTCTTGTAAAATCGAAAAGTTTGAAGCTAAAATAAAAGAAGTTGAACAGAGGTACATCAAAGACATTATGATCCTCCAAGGCGAGCTTTCAAAGCTAAAGGAAGAAGAAGGCTATAAAACAATGTTCAACTCAAACCCTCACAATCTGACAGCTCATTCACAAAGAAAGTTGTCAAAGGCTATAAAACTGCTATCTTCGAATTGCACTCCAATAAATGTTAATCGGGAGTCTCAGAATGGATTTAAGAATCACAAGAAATTAAGCATAAGTAATGGAAACCATTTTAACAAGATCAAGTTTCAGGAGCCAAAGACCAGTAAGCTTACCAAGAATCGGCCTAAAGGTGAAATCCAAAGAAATCTTCTCAAGGGCTATATCAAAAGTAAAGGAGATAAAGAGACTAGCTCTGGGATCCTGGAGCTTTCTACGAGGACTCCTGATAAAACTAATACTGAGGTATCTCCTTACATGGTGGACATGTATCGTAAATAACAGCAAGCCATACAATGAGCAATTGAGCCACAAGATGAGATCAAGTAGCAACTGATTGAAGTATTCAAAGGCCATGAAATTAAATACGAATGATTCTCCAATGAAGTCTTCCAGAAAGACAATGTTAAAGAAACATAAGAAGTCAAAATCACAAACTTCAATTGGTGGATTAAAAAGTATGGACCATCGGAATTCTGGGGTATTCTTTCAAGGTTCTGATAAATTGAAGAAAATGGAAAGGAAGAACAGCCAAAAACCCCAACATTTTCATGATAATAATAATAGATCTAATAAACATAAGCGACATTTAACTGATCCAAGGGTTTCAGTAATTTCTATACAAAAGAATTTGTATAATACTTATCACAGTAAAAAGAAATCTTTGAAAAACCAACAGCTAGATAAGAAAAAGAAGAAGTATTCATCCAAAGAAAGTATTAGCACTGTGAGACATTGAATTTCCAAAGAAAACCCTGATTCTGGGGTATATTACCAACAATCTAGTAGGAAAGCTCCTCCTAATTCCATCATTGGCAGTATATTCTCTGCAAATGATTTCTCAAATATGAGTCAAATGAAGTCATCTGGCAGTTCATTTTTAAATAAGCACCAAAGGCGTTGTGTGTCTTCAATAGGGTGCTATCTCAAAGACGATCGACCAAACCCTGGTAACAGTTTCAACAGGTACCCTTCGGAGATGTCTGGCACTAAGATTGAAGTAAAGGCTAAGCAAAACAGTAGCATGGTCTAACTCTGGGTCTAATTAAACAGAATAAAGAAGGTTCAACTTTGTTAAATATAAATGGGGTTTTGGGGTTTTGGGGTTTTGGGGTTTTGGGGTTTTGGGGTTTTGGGG